AGTTTTTTGTTCCTTATTACTGTAGCTTCTCCTTTGTCCGCCTGAAGGACTAATTGTTCATTTGTTTCCAGGGTTTTGCACATCACGGCAAATCTGTTCTTGTGTGTGGGCTCCTATTGTGTAAAGATCTTTGGAATTAGTTCTATCTCCATTTACCGTTTTCTCTCTTCAGCGAACTTGTCGGCGAGATTGATAACCTCCACCAGGATGTCTCCTAGAAGGCTTCTGTGATAGTGAGTTCAAAAATTGAGTCATTTTTCCAGGAACGCGGTTGCTTCGGGATTGCGAAGAATTGATGATAAGTTTATTAATTTCTTCCTATTGCCGTGCTGATGAGTAGGTGCTGCCCCTTCGGAAGCCACTTAAACTGGGCTTATGGCTTAACTTAGGCTGTCTTATAATCTCAATCTTAAGAAATTTATCATCATGCAGTTTTGTTATTGAGTCAGAAATACTACGTGATTTCCTGTTGGTCATACTCTGGAGTATTTGAAAATCTTTCGGAGACGGGATCATGGCCAAATCACGCCATAGCTTTGACTTAATATCTATAAACTAAAACAAGTTCTAATGTTCAGTATCATAGGTCTTACTTAGTTTCTGAATAGAAGCCTGGTGGAGATGCTTATTAACCTTATCCAAATGGTAGGGTCTCTTAAGGTCACAGAACTTAGGAGTGATACCATAACGTTTACAACAGTTTAAGAAAGAAATATGGGAAGACTGACTAACAATTGTCTTTTTTGTCCGGCTGTATTCAGATAATTGTTTGGCAATTTTACGACCGTAGTTTAATTGAAGATATGAAGACCAAGATGTTGTGGCCTCTGTTAGGGTCTTTGACGAGTTCGTATTTTGGTGCGGAGAATGATAAGGCTCACTGATGATGCCGACTACGATGCCGGCGAAACGTTTGAGAATGTATCAAGTCCACTGTCAGATAGCTCACTGATGATGCCGACTACGATGCCGGCGAAACGTCTGAGAATGTATCAAGTCCACTGTCTGATACTGCAGGCAATTACTATGGCATACGACTTCGAACTAGGTGCATTCTACATAGTCTCCCTGACAACAAGACCAAGTTGTGACAACGAGGTCAACCCACTCCTATAAACCGAAAGAAGACTGCGACCATACCAGAGGCCACAAACTCTTGTTCTTCATATATTTAATTTTTTTGTTGGAGGGGCTTACATTACGTATGAAAGTGCACGAAGAAGAGATTCGTAGGTTGATTTCACCAGAAGAGGACGGATGAATCCAGTTGTTCTGCAGCCGTTTAGCTTTCATACAACGTTCAGGTGGACGTAATTCACAAGACCTCCCTCGTTTCGGGTGAAAACGGGCTGAGCTTACGCGCATCATTCGATGGATATCATCAGAGCTGGGTCTCATTCCTGTGAGAGTCTCACATTAACAGTAGGGCAAGAAGACTATCCGGTTCTATCTTACCTCCTATATAGATTTATATGAGCAAAATTAAATAAAACAACTAGATAAATATTAAGTGGTTTGGGTAATTATCTTTCATACTGGTCCTGCTACTTTTTCTCGGACGTGTGCGTGTGTGTGTGTTAGCGTCTATACGCAAAACAGGCCCTAAATCGTAGTTATCAAAAGGCGAATGTCAGGCTCTGATCATCATCAAAGAGGATGAGATATGAGCTTGTAAGCATGTAAGTCAAGTTACGAAACCACTTGCCCTAACCTCTCGGTCTAGGGTCATTAACGTTTAACCCTCTAAGGAAAGACATGACTGGGGCTGTGTAATTTGGCACGTCTGGTTTGGTTGATGAGCTTAATCTAACATGTTGGACGAGT